AAGCAAGCAAGGAAGCAAGCAAGCAAGCACGTAGGGCCAAGCGAAGCAAAGAAGCAAGAAAGCAAGAAAGCAAGCACGTAGGGCCAAGCGAAGCAAAGAAGCAAGGAAGCAAGCAAGCAAGCACGTAGGGCCAAGCGAAGCAAAGAAGCAAGAAAGCAAGAAAGCAAGCACGTAGGGCCAAGCGAAGCAAAGAAGCCAGAAAGAAGAAAGCAGGCACGTAAGGCCAAGCGAAGCAAAGAAGCAAGAAAGCAAGCAAGCACGTAGGGCCAAGCGAAGCAAAGCAGCCAGAATGCAAGAAAGCAAGCACGTAAGGGCAAGCGAAGCAAAGAAGCAAGAAAGCAAGAAAGCAAGCACGTAAGGCCAAGAGAAGCAAAGAAGCAAGCAAGCAAGCAAGCAAGCAAGGAAGCAAGCAAGCAAGCACGTAGGGCCAAGCGAAGCAAAGAAGCAAAAAAGCAAGAAAGCAAGCAAGCACGTAAGGACAAGCGAAGCAAAGAAGCAAGAAAGCAAGAAAGCACGTAAGGCCAAGCGAAGCAAAGAAGCAAGGAAGCAAGCAAGCACGTAGGGCCAAGCGAAGCAAAGAAGCAAGAAAGCAAGCAAGCACGTAAGGCCAAGCGAAGCAAAGAAGCAAGAAAGCAAGCAAGCACGTAAGGCCAAGCGAAGCAAAGAAGCAAGAAAGCAAGCAAGCAGTAGGGCCAAGCGAGCAAGAAGGCAAGAAAGCAAGCAAGACGTAAAGGCCAAGCGAAGCAAAGAAGCAAGAAAGCAAGCAATCACGTAAGGCCAAGCGAAGCAAAGAAGCAAGGATGCAAGCAAGCACGTAAGGCCAAGCGAAGAAAAGAAGCAAGAAAGCAAGCAAGCACGTAAGGCCAAGCGAAGCAAAGAAGCAAGAAAGCAAGCAAGCACGACGTAAGGCCAAGCGAAAGCAAAGAAGCAAGAAAGCAGCAAGCTCGTTAAGGCCAAGCGAGCAAAAGAAGCAAGAAAGCAAGAAGCACGTTGGCCAAGCGATGCAAAGAAGCAAGAAAGCAAGCAAGCACGTTAAGGTAAGGTACGGTAAAAAAGAAGCAAAGAAAGCAAGCATGCACGTAAGGCAAGAGAAGAAAAGAAGCAAGAAAGCAAGCAAGCACGTAAGGCCAAGCGAAGAAAGAAGCTAGAAAGCAAGCAAGCAGTAAGGCCAAGCGAAGAAAAGAAGCAAGAAAGCAAGCAAGCACGTAAGGCCAAGCGAAGCAAAGAAGCAAGAAAGCAAGCAAGCACGTAAGGCCAAGCGAAGCAAAGAAGCAAGAAAGCAAGCAAGCACGTAAGGCCAAGCGAAGCAAAGAAGCAAGCAAGCAACCAAGTAGGCAAGAAGCGCACCGCAACACCCATCCTTCTTCTGAGGGTCCTCCATTTCCTCAAGCCCCATGCAGAAAATATGTCCAGTAGTAAGCTCGCTTCCCTGTTCAACAACCAACAACAAGTAAAAACATTGATACATAAATGGGTGTGTGTTATCAAATTAGGGACTCCAAACAAGGCGTTCCACTCAATCCTTTTTGGTTTCCCTTCAAGACCCAAAGCCGAGCTCAAGCGCAGAGAGCTGCTGGGGCGCTTTAGCAGCGGCACCAGGGGCGATCGCACGGCGAGCTGGGCCTCGATGCCGCGGGCACGGCGCAGGCAGGCGCGGCTCAGCTTCCGGTCGTCGCAGCCGGGGACGTAGTGCCTGACCCATGCGACCCAGGCGACCCAGGCAACCCCGACGGGGCGCGGGGGCATTTGAGGGTAATGGCTCCCTTTGCGGCTCCGAATCAGACAAGCATCCCAAACCAGGGACGACACTGCTGGTTCACAGTAAGATAGTAGGAAATCAACAGGGGCTTGGGAATGAATTCAGAGTTCTGCAAAGGGAACAAACCTCCAGGAGGCTATGTCAAAGATGGCTTAAACACATTTAAGCAAGAGTTTTGCCCGACCCGCTGCAGACCCCAATTCTCAAACACGGTTGTAGGGCAAATGCGTGACTGGGGACTTGGGGACACACCCAGATTTCCCCTTTAGCTACTGCGCCAAAATAAATCTTGCTTTTGAGTGGCCCAGCATTTCTCCGTACACTTGACCAACAGGAAACCTATTTTTAGGTGAAATCCACCAAAGCTTCAACAACAAGGGAACCCTGACCCAGCCCCAAGACTCCCGAATGGATTGGGCTTAAACTCCAAAATGGATACCAATTCAGAAAAAGCTTTTCGCGTAGTGGAGTAAAGAGAGGACACTGAGTATATTCTCAAAGTCCATGAAACAGTGACAAAATACTGCAATAAATTCAGACCAAAACTCAAATAAGGCCTTGGTCGGGGCAGTCTTAAATGCAGCTGACAAGAGATCTGTGCGTGTCTTGTGTCAGGGTACCCTTCTTTGCTAGTTTTTCAGGGAAACCAAAAGGGCAACCGCCGTTTTGGGAGTACAAAGACACACCCATCCGAGCAATTGACTGCTTCCGTGAGAAAAAACAAGAACCCCCCCTCCACAAAACGGACCAAGCGCGCGTTGTTGGGGGTGGACACTAACAGATTCAACCAACAAACGAAGCCATGCAAACAAAAGCAGCCAAGCAAGGAAGGATTCAAGCCACCAACCAAGTACACAGAAAAAATGGTGAGCAGGCAGGCTCTTTGCCAACAAACAAATACAAGCACACCGACCAACCAACAATATCAAGCACACCGACCAAACAACAAAACACCTTTCTGGCGCCTCAGCTGGTCTAGGAACAGCACCAACGCCTGCTCCAGGGCCAGCCGTCCGCTTTCGAGTACGTCCACGGCGGCTTTGAAGGTCTCAAAGGTGAAGGGCCGCAGCAAGGTATCGATGTAGATGCGGTATTCCTCGGCAAAGTGTGCAGATTTCCGGGGAAACGTTTGTGTCCAGCAAAATGTAAAGTTTGTTGGGTTCGGAATTGGTAGATGTGTCTCGTCAAAAGCTTGGGGGGTTCATAAATCAAAAGGTCGAACAGAAACACTCAACTTACGGAAGCTGGAATGATCAGCGTGTGCGGTATTCGTGCGCAAACTTTCGACACACTGCTTGCATTTTCAGGACTAAGCAAGGGATGTCACACCCTCCAAACACAAAAGCAGAAACATGTCTCATTGCCTACATGGTGAATCCTGGCAGAATGTTCCTTTCTGCCTTTTAGTGAGATTCCCATCCCAACTAATTACTTTGTCATGTCAAAGAGGATGTGGTATCACAGAGAGCCCAAACAAGCCCAGGATAAACCTCGGAGAGGCACTCGATAAGGCCTTCTTCAGGGGTTGAGGACATAGAACCCCCCTGACAACTCTCAAAAGGAACCCGCAAACAAAGTGTCCTGCGAGAACGTCTTGGGTATGTCTTAAGAAGATACTAGAACTATGGATTCCAAAAGTGTGGGTGTGTGCAAATTCATGGGCAAACCTCCATGAGATTCTGAATGCGCAAAGTTAAGGTGGGGGAGGCTGCTAGAATTGGGTTTCTTGGCTTTCCTCAAACATCATCCAAGTATCACAAGTCCAACAAAAACGAGGCCGTGAGCCGTAAGCTGGGATGGTCCGCAGGTGCCTGGAAGGTCAAACTGGGGTTAAGAACGGGGGTGTAAGGGAGGGGGTTGGAACGTTAAGGAAATACAAGATTCCGTAGCACTTCCTCGCGCTCCCTAGCAAACCCTAGCGCTCTCCCCAAGGACCCCTAAAGGCCCTAAAAGATTCTTGGTAGGCTTCCTTAAGCTCCCGCTTTGATGCTGGCTAGGTTGGGTTGGGCTAAACGATGGCTTTACCCCTGCACAATTCACAGCTGCGTGCGCTTCTGGCGCGGTTCCAACAGGGGGGCGCTCGGGAAGCTTGGGAAACTCTGAAAATTCAATGGGGGGGTTGGGGAGGCTTAGGGAGGCTTAGGGAGGCTTAGGGAGGCTTCGGAAAAAGCTTGGGGAAGCCTTAGGGAAGTCTGGGGCAGTTTGGGGAATAGGCATTGGACGAATCAGCCAAATTGGGCTGCTAAAAAACACAAGCAAAGGCCCAAGTGCTTTGCGAAGACGACCAAGCGCTTTGCGAAGAGATTAGCGGGCAACGGGAAGGAGGCTCTGCATTCAGGATTTGAACCCTTGACTTCCCTAGGGCGCCCTAGTTTATTCTCATCCCACATTTTCGAGTCCGCCCGGAGGCACCGGGAACGGATCAAGGCTTCAATATATCAGCCTGAAAATGTGAACAACTCCCACCGTTGATCGGTATAGAGGGAAACCAAAAGGACGCGAATGATATTCCCGGGGACTGAATCCCATTTTGAGACATTGCCACATAAGAAATCGCTCGTTTTGACAACACCAAAGGGAAACCGGGAACCTTCATCATGGGCTTCCAAGCACTGCCGGTTGCAAAAAGGCAGACCCTGTGGGACCTCGACGAAACATAAGTGCCAAAAAGTGAAATCCAAGCCTTGCTCCGTGGATCCACTAAAAGTTGACTTGTATGTGATACGTCCCAACTTCAAAAGGGTGTGGCCGGGAACCTTGATTCGTTCTTCCCGGTCCCCCCCCCGTTTTCCAGAGGTCCTGGCCTTGCCGGAACAGAGGGAACCACAGCGCAACATGGGTGAGACTTTCCTTTCCCATGAAAAAAAATCCTTCGGGTGCCCGCAGAACCTGCCGTCCTGGGTGGATTGGCCAGCAGAAGTCTAAACTACTTTTTGTTTGCCACCAAATGATGAAATCCAGGAGGTCAGGCAGTGAGAAAAACATACACATTCACACATGCACGTTAAGGCATCCAACACAATATGTCATGTTGTTTTGGATGCTCTGGTTTAATGTTGAAACACAAGGCCCTGAAGGTCATAACTTCTGCACAGCTTCCTTGCACGGGACCGCCACCTCTTCCTTGAGACTCATAGAGGGTCAACTCCAAACTAAATATGGCATCCGGCATGGGGTATAGGACAAGTCCCGCATTAAAACGGCTGTGCCATCTGCGGCGAGCCAGAATGATGCCTGAGCAAGCAAACCGCAGGTCCGAAGCATATATACACCAGCAAGACCACTAGATGGCACAATTCGATTCAACCTCCAACCTCTGCCCCCTAGCGCAGTCACGTTCTAAGGCTCCCTTGGCTCACCCCAAAGGACCTGCGCAATTCGCCATGGTTGAAGTTTGTTGACGTCAAATTGGGGGAAGTCATGGGCCAAGACTGGCATCCAAAATCCAAAACAGTATACACCTGAGCGTTGCCTTGTAAACGGTGGTTTCCCTGTATTTGGGTGGAAAAGGCCATGTTTCAAATGGGCAAAATGTATCTTTTAAGGAGCCCTGCCAAATGGTTGTTGAAAACAGAGAACCTAGGAGGTGGTCTCCCTTTTGCTTGCCTTCATGAACCCAAAAAGAAAATCGAGCCTCAAACAAGCGACACACCCAAACGAATCACAAGCGTCTGGGAATGACTTTGGCCCGAGAGCTCACATGTTCGGAGCCAAAGGCCGCCTTCACAAATAAGAGGCTTAGGCCTTCACCCACTCTCCTGCAGATCAACATGGACCCCCTCCCCAAAAAAAAACATGATTTGTGGAGAAAACTCCCCTTTTTGGGGATTCCATGCTAATTTGCAGGGGAGTAAACATGTTGCTCGATCAACCTCCGTCTGGTTCCCCTTTAATGAGGGCTACAAGTAGTGGCCAGCGTCTGGGTGTTGAACAAATTTTGCCCAACCCTTCACCCAGCAGCCATGCTCAGCTTGCAGGATCTGCGAGGCCAGAACGGTATGTATTAGGGTACATTTATGCAGAGGGGTTCTGCTACGGTCCTCGTCCCAATATGGTGCCCCTTTCCGGGCCCAAGAATCGTGTAACAGTGCAACTTCCGAGTGAGGAACTCAAACGGCATAATTTGCTAGTCACTTTGTGAATTTGTGCTGGTTTCGATTTGGTTTAAAAATGCTGAGTATTGGTCTAGTGTTGGTTCTTAACATGTGACCGAACAAGACTGGAGTTGGGCTCGACGGTAAACCTGGTGGCTTGGAACTGGTTTACCGGGTTGGTGTCAAGGGAAACCCAAGGAAACAAAGGTTCTCAACTGCATTGTGATGCATTCTCGGGGTACCCCCATTTTGTGACAAGCCCATGTTAGGAAACAACATCTGCAGATCAACGCACGAATCCTTTCTGTCTTTCGCCTTTTTGAGCTCAAATCACCAGCCATCACAGACTTCCAGGCTACGAAACCTCGGCAGGGAGTCGACTTGGGAACTTGGGCTCCTCCTTCAACTGACCCTGGGTTGACTTTCCAGAAAAAGGAATTGATTATGAGGAGACCTGCCAACAAAGAAGAACTGATCTTTGAAACCAAGGCAAGTCAAGTTGTGGAGAACCCCGATAAGGAGTGCTCTTAAGCTTGCCGATATAGGTAAGTCAATCGGAATTTTAGAGAAGGATAAAGATTTGTGTTAAGGGCATTATAAATAAGTATCACATGAGGTTTGATCATGGCACAGGTCCGGAGAGAAACCACTACCAAGGAAACCACCCTACGTAAAGATTGCCTTTTGAGCAGCCCAGGTCTTGGGCCAGAACAGCACAACCCGTCCAGGGGTGGCTCTAAGTTGGGGCCCGCCTGGGAAATTGTGGGTTGTCCCCCTCTCGTCGTCCCCAAACTAACCTGCGGTGCTGATGGGATATTGGCTGTAGTCTAAAAAGATGAAGAAACCCAGAAACAAACAGCTTAAAGCTTGGTTTCTGAGCAACAGTACTCAGTCAACTGCCAATAGTATGGGAATACCCCAATCTAGACCCATCCAGGGTAGAACTTAAATCCATCAGACGACAAGCGGCCACAAGCGGCCAAGGCAACTCAAACGTTTTACAGTGCTTCAGCCCGAAATCTGCGCCATACAAACCACCTAGCCCTTCACTACTTGGGTGTTCGGCAAAGTGAGCAAGTGGTTGGCAACCTAGGTGATAACTCACTTATAAGTCCCCAGTAATTAGTGGGGTTAACTCTGGTATTCGTGACTTATAACACAAGTGGCTAACCACTTACTACCTTGGCAATGAATATCCAAGTAACTCTTTTTGGGCGACCTTCAGAGCCTAGGGTAACTAGTAACTTCCCCACTCCAGGCACTGTTCTTTCTGCAAAGCAGCCGAAACCACGGGGAAGGGCTGGTGTTGGAGAAAAGAACGCTGGATAGAGCTGTTGTAGAGAGAAAACCAAAGTCTCCCAAATTTCTGGGAACTATAGGTGCCCCGCCCCAACTGGCTGTGAGTTGTGCTATGAGGGCTTGTAAATCCTTTGTGGAGGGTTGCTCCACACAAGCAGTGTCGCTTCAAGGATACGTTCAAGCTAGCGAAGCCGTCCATTTACTTGAGGTGCCGTTGAAACATGCTCCTCATGCTTGCCAATCATCACCATTTCCATTTATTTAGAACCACCTCAACCGAATGGAACATCACCTCAACCGAAAAATCCAATTGCGATGCTGCATGCTTACCAGTTTGGCTGTGTCGAGGTAAACATCTTAACACATTGGAATGTCTGAAATGTCAAATCATCTCAAGAAGATCTGCCAAAATAAAGGAGAAAAAGAAACAAACACACAGTTATCAAGTTTCAGGGACCCACAATGATTGGTTGCCAGCCATTCATTTTTCCAATAATTCAGAGTCATGGCAGTTCTTGATACCCTCGTAGATAGTCATTGTTAGTCACCAGTAGCCACTACCAGGCTGCATTGGCTATCCTTGCTACTGCTCTGAGCTAACAATTCACTTCCAGATCCAAGGTGAGACTGAGAGCCACATACTGCTTTGGGTTTGCGTCTTGAGGGGACCTGCTTTTGTGGCTTCAAAGGAAAGCCGGGAAAAGCCACCGTTTTGGAGGCCCTTAAGAAGTCGACACACCTCTAGGGGTCGGTTCCCCATACTTTCCAACCATCATTCTTTTCAAGAACCAGCTGTGTTTCAAGGATTTTGGTGGTTTTCAAGAAAAAAGGATCCCTGAAAACAATGGGGAAGCAAACAATAGAACACCCATTTTGAGACCTCAACCGGCTGACTGCCCGTGACGACCGAGTTTCGCCAAGGCTCATTTGGCCATCACAGCCGTATGGGCCAGGGTAGTTGCCAGGAGCAAAGGGGTCGCCTGTCCGGGGAGAGACGTCCGGATGCCATAATGCCATAAGATGAACGCTGCAACCACCACACAAAACCCTAAGAAACACACATCTGGGTGCTCAGCACCTGCAGCCAAATGTCTATACTGCGCCGACCGGCAAGTACAGTCGACAGCTGCAATTTTGCAGATCAATTTGCTGGTGGTTTCTAGACATCTGCAAGTTGTACTATCAGAGTTACTATCATTCCAGATATTCACAAGGGATTCCCATGTAAAGGGCCTTCCACGAACAGAAAGATCCCTTGAAAGAACCGAAGTACAACTACGAGACCTGCGTACATCTTACCTCAGCTTTTGCCAATAACACATGGTACCTGTTTGTGGTTCTATTTCACTGAACCTTTATACACGAGTCATATCAACAGAGATCCCAAAGTTGACTAGCTAGAAAGACTGGCTCAACTCTTTGGTCGCAACCAAACGATGAAGCAAAACCCTCCCACATCAACCAAAAACGATGAACTCACTCAGTTGGTAAACTTGAGACCAACAGACGAAGACACTATCCCAAATTAGTTTTAATTCTATCAACAAGCACAGCGGTGATCCCCCATATGTCAGGCCATGTTCGAACAGGTTGCAATACTGGCCAAGGGCACTTTAGATAGAGAGCGCCGTTGTGACTCATCAATATTGGCATATCGATGGAACTTCTAGTGAAGCAACCGTGCCAAGGACCGCAAAGTGACTATGGAACCACAGATGACTAGCAATTTGCCAGCTCCTTAACTTTAATTCTACTCCAGTGGTTGCACGCGGCATGATTGGTGCTCAATTGGACCCCTCAAATTTGGCGACATGTGCCCCTGTTGCTCAGTGACCCTGGCAGAAAAGGGCACCTTGGCTTTTTGGGGTTGACCAGTTTCAGACCAAACAATAAGGGACTCTCAGCGAACGAAAAAACTTCGTCCAAAAAACAACTTTGACCGCGAAACGCCTCCCAACGTGTGACTCGTCCAGTACTGATGTCGCTCAAACTTAGGGCCCGGGCTGGGTTCCCCAAGAACGCAAAGCCTACCTTGGGCCTCAAAAGTATATAATGGTTTCCCTTTTGGCCTCCCCAAGGATTTTTATATTTCCCTGGGAGCCCACTACACCCTAAGGAAGTCTACTTGGAATAGTCCGAAATCGCCGATTTCGAATCTGGAAACAGCCCAGAATGCGGTGATTCCCCAAACGGTGTGGCTTTTAGGGTGCCATGGACAAATCCCTGGAACCGAGTCTTGGGGGGCAGCTGGGGTGTGCTGGGGTTTGTTTTCCTTGACGCCACCATGTACCGGGGGTCTCCTGAAAAAGATGCTATATTTTAGGGTAGACCAAGTATGGAAAATATGTAAAAACCCTTAGAGTGGTTGCAAGAACTTGGAAGATCATTTCAGCTTCGACTGGTCGCAAAACGGGGAAACTATGTACCCACCGGTAGACTGGTCGCAAAAACATGGAAACCACGTTTTCAGGCAAGCCTCCCAAACGAAAAGAGACCCAAACCCTCACAAAACCCTCACCTCCAGCACCATATCCGCCAGCCCCGTATCCGCCAGCTCCGCCAGCTCCACCAGCTCCGTAGCCTCCGCCGTAGCCTCTGCCATAGCCTCCGCCGTAGCGGGTGTTTTACTTCTATTTGTTGCTATGGATGGATTAATCCTGGCTGCCTACTACAGTGGTAGCAAACAGTGATAAGTCAAACCAAGCATTCCCCCTTTTCTCCCTGGTTGTAATCTACATAGCAAATATATTGAACATTCGAGTGGGGGAACCCAAAGAAAACCTTTGGCTGTCATCATCTTTTACAGGCTCGGAGCAACCTCTTTGGCTATTGTGCAAAAAGTGGGGTGTGGCTGATTGATTTGTTCCTTTTGTGTTGTGTAGAAACTACGCATTTTCCCAAGCATGGCAAAGGACAATAGGGCTAGTGGCCAAGCCGGGGCAGAAATGGGTAGTTTCCAAAGGTTTCTCTGTGAGTTGTCCTTTAAATCCAACCCAACACACCAAACACGCACCCATTCTGCATGGTTAGCTTCCCTTTCGGTTTCCTTGAACATAAACAAACAAGGCAACCTTCAATCTAGGAGGACCTTGTGTCTGTCTTTGTGTAACAATTCGCGAGACAAATGCAAGCTGCGAAGGCCTATTCAGCCTTTTATTGCCGAGTTTATTTCTAAGGCTTGATTCCCCATTCAACCATCGTTCTTTTCACAGACAAGCTTCTATCCCTGGGTTTCCAGAGTGGACCAAAGGGTCCTTTGCTTCTGAGCAGGTGTTATTTTGGGAACTACGAGGGAACCACTCACCCCTTTGGTTGCAAGTGTATTTTTGGGAATTCAAAGGAAACCGTGCATCTCATGAGTGTTTTTGTGTTTTGTTTTTGTTGGGGGTGGTTCTGTTTAGAGACACGCCCATATACTGTGGCGAACCCAAGAACCCTTGGGTCGGTTTCAATAGAGGAATGACCCACTGCCCCTCGCGTGGTGAAACCCCCTGGACTCTTTCTACGTGGCTCAATCACCACACGTTGATTGCCGAGTTTGATTGGCTTTTTCTTCATAAGGAAAATGTCGTGTGGCAGCATACCTGTAATACGCAAACCTTGGTCGTATTTGTCAGCAAGGGTTTGGCGGTAGGGGCCAAATCATCTTACCAGCCCAGTGAGCTTGTCAAATGAACATCTTTTGGACCCCGGCGCCGCCTTTCAAAGAGGGGGATACAAAATAAGGCCCCTAATCTTGACAACCCCCCAGCTGTGAACCTTTTGGGTTGGTTTGCGATTGGCCTGGTTGCAAAACTTTCTGTCTTCACATGCCTGAATCACATGGGCACAAAACCGTAAATCCACGTGAAACAAAGGGCAAACAAGTCTCGAGGGCATGGCAACAAGATGTTTCAAGTCTTCACCTGACAACTTTGGCATTTCTCACCCACTGGCATTCACGACGCGTCTACTAGGTCCTCCAGTAGAGAGGTTAGAATAAGGGTACCCCTTTTTCTGTAGTCTATTTTAGTAGGGGAACCCTCCTGCAAAAAAGGGGAAAAGGGCACTACTGGGGGACCTAGTCTATGTTGAATTGCAGTAGTTTACATGGGTCGCTGAACCAAAGGGGGACACCACTAAGGGAGTTGGGCGTTCCTTCTGGTTTCTCTGCAGAACCACACTGGTTCTGTAGAATTGTCTGTCGCTGTTTGTATGTGGTGAGTTAAAGGGAAGCTTGGAGCCTATTTCACCCGCGAAGGGTGTCTCAACCACTACAAAAACCCTTTTCGGGGGTCCTCTGGAGGGTGTCTCAACATGGAGTGACCCCAAGATCAGAAATGGATAGTCATCCTTTGCTTCGCGTACAACACCCCAAACAAAGATACCCTCGCTGCCAGAGACTCTCCCCGCCTCTGCCCGCGCCCATACCGCCAGCGTAACTGGCCGCGCCGTAGCCGGCACCAGCGGCGAGGCCCATCCTCAGCACAAGGCGGGAGATTTCCCTCAGATCCATGGCATTTCCAAGTATGGGGATGAATTTGAACAAGGGATAAATATGGGGACAAATTTGAATAAGGGGCAAATATGGGGACAGGTTATTGCTAAGGGACCCTTTCGTGGAATCAACATTCGGTGGGGATTCCTGCCCATCATTTGCGAGGTGGTCCCCTGGTAAAATGCATTGCCGTGTGGTTTTTTGAAGGTATGGCGCAACGTTGCATCGCGTGCATAAGTGGTTAAGCCCCATATGGTGGTGGGAGGTGTCTTAAGGTGAAGGGTCCCTTGGGTCTCACTTGCAGCCCTTTTGGCGTCTCTTGGCATTCAACTGAGCCAAAACCCCTGACAATACAATGGATGCCCAAAGCGCGGTAAATGAGATCCCTTGTTCCCCTACTTGCAAATATTTGGAGCGTCAACCGTAGCTCAACTTTTCTTTTGCCTCCAATGTTGACCGGCTGAAAACAAACATAAACATCACGTCCTATTAATAGAGGGGCGTTCCCTCCAAAGGTGGTCTAAATCCCCACTAGGAATTGGATACCCGTGATGAAAATCAACTGCCAAAAATTAAGGGGTACAATTAATTAAGTCTTCCCGCCAGAACTTGACAAGGGTTTTACCTCCTCAAGGAATCAAGGGACCCGGATCCGTTTTTATCTCACTTACAAGCAAGGGTCCCTTGATACCCTGAAACGGTGTCAGAAATTGCGGGACCCCTACCCGTTCAGGACAAAGTACCTAAGGTACCCCCAGAGCTCGGGGCTTTGTCTTGCTTGCAAAAGACTTTTGGCGATTGATGCTTCACGGATGCGCAGATCGTGAGGCTGGGGACCAATGTCGTACTCGCTCGGGACTGGTAGGGGACCCAAAAGGTCAAATCCCAGAGACCGTGTCAAGTTGTCAGCTGTTGATGGCTTTTGCTGCATTCCTTGCTAGCCTTGATCCTTCAGGGAGTGCATTGTGCACATCCGTGCTATCTGTTCCTCTGCCAAGCAAGACGATAACAGTGTGCAAAGACATATCAAGGCCGCAAAAAAAGAGCCCCCCAGCCCAGCCGGTTCTACATGACTTTCCACTTCCCAACAAGGACAATCATGAGAATTGTATATCGGGGGGACCCCTTTGCTGCTGGATGGTCACCCTCTCCCGCTAAGTGAGCTCGCAATAAGACAGGCTCCCTTGAAGGATACATTCGGGTCACTTCAGAAACCAACCAAATACCAGCACTAATTCCAGATGCGTTTGTTCCAAAAAGCAGGACCCCCCCTTTAGGCAACCCTGCGGTTTGAGCAGGGTTCCTGCCTCAAGGCAGACAAAGAGGTAGACAAAATCATTTGGGGTGACGTCCCCAAATGGGAAACCCTGCGTTTAAGCCTACCTTGGGTTAATACAACATGGGTGTCGTCTTTAGGAGCCCCCCTAAATGGCGGTGTGTGTTTATAGTTTTTTCAACCATAAACATAGGGGTGCCCTCGACAAAGGAAACCATGTCTAAACATTATTACTCGAGAAATATGTCCAAATTCCTGCTTCCCAGTATCCCTGCTTCTTCGATTGTCTGACAAATGGTGCGGGGCAAAATTTTGGGCGGAAAGCCAAGGCCCGTTGATACAGCGAGGCGCCGGGCAGCCGACCGCATCAGGCCCCGCTGGCGCGCGGCCCGTCGCATGGCAGCTTGCTGGCCGTAACGTGAGAAGGGCCCTGGAGCAAAGCGCAGGTCATAGATGTAGTGGTGCATGTATATGTATGTCTATATACATATATAATCATATATATATAGGTTCCAGTCCACAGGCCGCCTAACTTCCCCCCCCCCCCCCCAAGGGTAGGGTCCCCCCCTTCACCCACATCAATTGGCCTGGAACATATACATATATATATATATACATGTGTTGAAATTGAAACATGATCATTTGTGTAGCGTCTTTGCAGTTGGTTTACTTGAACAGCCTAGGTCTTGGGTGGGAGTCTTGTTTTGGAGTTGGTGCTCCGTGTGGGTGATTCACGGGAAACCAAACGGAGAACATGTTGTTGCTTTGGGGAGAATAGCCTAAAAACTGAATCACCAATGTATAGAAGGTACCCTCCCCTAATCTCCCCTACTTTCCATTGGGAGTGGTTTGGAGCTAGTGTAACGGACTGGGCTAGACCATATAGGACTTCGTTGGACTTGAATAGACTGAGCAGACTGGACTGGACTAGATTGGTCTTGGTCTTGGACTGCCTCGATTCGAATGGGCTGGATTTGGCCTGGGCTGGACTCGGAATGGGCTGGAGGTTCCAAAATGTCTGAGGGGAGATTTGGTGAACAGCCGCCTGTGTATAAATATTATATATATATATATTATTGTACCCTCAAGCACAACAAAAGGTAGCTGGCAGACATTCTCCCACAGGATTGGGTGTTTTTGTTTCTCGTTTGTTGTTGCCTGGTGTTTGTTTCCGCTTCGTTCTTCTTCTCCGGTTTTCGTGCTTGTTTGATCTGGCAAAATTACATCTGCAAAGGAGCCTTCTTCAGGTCTCAAAATATTGTTTCATTCACTAGCCTGTAGGAGCAGACATTGTATGGAAATTGGATTATATCTCCAGAAATTCAGAACTTGTGTAATATAAGCATTGCATTGCATGGCTTTCTTATGATGTTATTTTCAAGAATGCCTCGCTTGTTCGGAGGAGACCGAAATTAGTTTGTACCTATCCGGTATATCCTAGAGTCAGTATTGGCTTTATCATATTGTTTATACGTTCAATTCTATCCTTCTCTAATCGCAGAAATTGGTGGTGGTACCGGATGGACATTTGCTCCGCCATTATCCATTTCGTGTGTGCCTTCATCACCTTTACTCAGAATTTGGAGGTGGTAGAGGAAAGACATTGTATCCACCACTATCCACTACTTTTATGCCTTCATCACCTTAAAGTACTGAAAGTACTGTTATTGTAGGTGAATTTAGCCTTTTTGCGGGGGTGTCTGAAAAAGACGTCAAAAAAGGGGGCAATTCCAAGGGCAACTCTTCTGGATGTTTCATGCTCTGGACAAACCCTCACAAACCGGAAAAAGGAACACCAGACTCTCTGAGAGAAGGTAGCTGAAAAACCGAGAAAAACATGAACTACATGTTTTTGCGTTCTAAGACAAAGACAAAAACCGTACTGCCTGACATGGCAGACATTCTTTCATGGGAGCATGTTGTTGTTGTCCGTCTTTTTTCTCGTTGTGTTGTGTTTGTTTTGTCCGGCTCGTGTTTTCTCTTTTTATGGTTGTGTCCTTTTTTGTCTGATTTAGCAAAAACACATCTGCAAAGTAGACTTCTTCGGGTCTCGTGCCCGACTAATCAGAAAGGCTTAGAAATCGGGAGATCCTGCAGTGGATCTAGGAATAATTCTAGGAGATCCTGCAGTGGATCTAGGATTGTATTAATGATACATATTATGATGTAGCATATGATCATGTTGTTTTTGCTTTGGGAGCTATTATTGCTATCTTCTTGGAGAAAAGACTGTTGGTAGAAAGAATTTATGACTTTCATCCTCATGTACACTCTTTCTGTATGATTGCAATCAAATATTGATTGCTATTGTTCTTACCTTTTCCCCAATGCATTTCGGATTTAATGTTATTCCAAGAAGAATCCCATCCTTTCCAGATTCTAGTCATTCCCACACAGAGCAAAAAGATGAGTTTCGGAGGGGGGTAGCATATATATATATACATGTGCTTGTATGTATTTGATGTTATATATATATATGTGGGTGTGAACCTTAATAAAGGACGCCTTTGTGTTTAGGTGCGGATCCACGTCCACCAACCAGTTGTGCGGTGGTGTCCCGCTAAACATTCATAGCCATTTGTTGTTGTCCTCTTTGTGTTTTTGGGCCCTCTTCTCACCTTGTTTCAAGGGAGGTAAAAAGGAAAACCCATTTTGCTTTCAGCCCCCAAGTTTTACGCACGGCTTAAATGTTCAATACAGAACCGCAGTCGCAATGCATCGCTTAGCCTTCAGTGGTGATATCATGTGATCGTTTCTCAAGACCTGCCGACCCTGGAGAAAGAGAACCAAGCCTCGGGCCAATGCAAACTTCCCCATAGCGCCAGTTTCGGAGCTTGGCGCAGCGCGCGGCGATGTTGTCAAAGCGGGAAGCTATAGAGAACTCTGGAGCTTTCCGCAAAAGGGGTGGTGTGGAGCCGAATTGGTGGTGTAGAGGTGTTCCGCGGCAGGTTTCCCATTGACCGTCTACAAGAACCAGGGCTTCAAATCCCCAGTTCCCACCAATCCAAGTTCCAAAATTGGGGGTTTGGGAAGCATTGGAACCCGTTTTGGAGTGACAAAACCTTGAATCTGGGCCGGACTTAGACTCCAGGAAAGTCAACACATTTTGCAGGCTTAGAGGGAAACAAGAAAACTCAATTCAATAACGGCGGAAATGTATGTCTGTGTGTCTTTTTGAAGATGGTGGACTCCCTGCTTGGTTGGTATTTTGGGAAACCCCAATACAGGTTTGGCAATAAAGGGGCCAACGCGGGCAATCTTGTTTTGACATCCGAGTTTACTGGCCAATGAGTATGTTCTTTGCCTGGACTAAAGTGAGAAAGAAACTTGCTGGAACTCGCCCCCGCCCCCCTTGCCCAGAGGGCCTGGAAATCAAAGGCTAGCCTTCTGGAATGGACCAAATTGGAAAAACCAACAGGTCAGATCCGGTCGATCCGTTTAGGAAAAGTGAGGAAGAAGTACCTTCACTCGACTGAGGCCATATGGCACCTGACAGGTCCCTTCGTGCCGAGTTTCTTCCAAGCAGCCCACAGGTAGAAGAAACGAGTTACCAACTTCCCACCAGCCGCGCCGGCCTCGCCCCACCTTCTTGTTCACCTCCCCGCACGGCTCGCAGGTCATGCCCGGCGGCGGCGGGTTGGGGCAACCCCCCTTCTTGCACCTCGCACGCGAGCAAAGCAGGTGGCAAGGGCCACGATCGGTTCGGCTTGGACTGTGCATGTATGGTGAGTGTTTGGCGAAGTTACTGATGATTGCCTGCAGATTTGAATGCAATGGTACAGCCGTGCGATCTGATTGGAGCCAACCAAACGCAAGTCCAAAGAACCAAAGGATCTAGGTGTCTAAGTTGATTCGCCCAGCGGTTCACTTTCTGCAGTGGGTAAACCCAGAAAGTGAAGAGGGTGACCCGCTCAATCAAAATGTTCCAACATCTTCCAGTAGCCCCAAAAAAACCGATTGATCGTTGCAGAAGTTGGCTGAGAGAAAGAGGAGATTCCGATGCCAGCGCGGTTTGGTCATTTCGAGGTTCAATCCAAAGGCATTTAGCCAAAGGCATCGGCTGGAAATGAAAATCGAAGCAAAGGTCCGTTCGACCCCGTCGACGTTCAACGAACTGAGGACTGACTCAAGTGAGCCGACTGCGGCGTTGAACCCGTGAGATACCGTTGAGAACTCGGGCGAGCCGGGCATTGGGCCCAATAAAACCCAACCTTCGACTTGGACAACTGATTCTGTCTTCTGATATTCAACCCCCAAACCTCTCTTTGTGACCTTTTGGGGCCATCAATAAACATGAACCAACAAGGGGGAAGCACAAGATAAAAAGGCGGCTTTGGGCAAATGAGAAAACCCCAAGACCACCCTCAAAGGCTGTGGGTCAACAATAGGTACCCAAAATGGGTTGCCCTGGTAAATGGAACCAAAGACTAAAACCTGCGGTCCCCTGGTGGATTAATTTTGACCCACCCTCAAACCACCGGAGCCCCACGTCCGACGTCACCGAACCATGTCTCTGAGGCAAGCACCCCGGCGGCACCGCCTTGACTACCTGGCAAGGCACCAGAAGCCAAAATGGGGGGGAAGGGCCATAGGTGTCCTTTTTGGGCAAATAGATGGCCCTGGTATTTGATTGAACCACCAGGTAAAGCAGGAATCGCCCATGCTTAAGCCAAATCAACCAAAAAGAAGACCTATGAGAAGGGCACTCCGAAAGATACCCCCTCACTTCCTGGGTGGCTTGGCCTGAACAAGTCTGAACTTTTTGTTGACCACTAAAAGGGTCCAAACCCCCAAGAAAATGTCCATCCAAGGATATGTCATCTTCGATTAGCCTAAGCCCACTGGAAAAAACATCCAGTAGTGATAGATGCCCTTTGAAACCAAAAGGGCAAAAACATATTCTTAGGCAAATGGGCGCCATAAGAAGATCTCGGTTTGTAACACACTCCGAGGGAAACACTGGCACCAGTGGTAGAACAACGATGCCCCCCCAAGGACCAGAGTCGCAAGGAAGGGACGATCAAAGTCCTAAAGATGTGGTTGGTGGACATATTGTGGGGGAACAGCTGGGTGTCCTGGTCAGATTGAAGGTCACGTTGATGATATTTCAAAATATATTTTGGATCAATGCCTGGCTTCGTCGAGCAAGCTTTGTCATTAGTGGGCAAAGGACTTTGGCAGACCACCATCATCTTGAAAAGCCCCACCCCCGTTGTTAATGTTTCATAATTGTTGGGAAAATCCGGAAAGGCCCGAAACAGAGCGGATGCTGTGTTTCGCTTAGGCGTGATGGGGGGAAACGGGTAGTCAAGCCTTAGAACTGAGGAGAGAGGCTCTCAGTACAATAACTCACCAACTGCAACTGCCAGCAAGTTTTCCCTGACCATGTGTGATACGAGTCTGGAGCAATCAACATACCCAACCACTTTTCTTGACCAGACTTAGAGTACCTGCAAAAGGTCAAACTTTATGCTGGTTGCAGGCCATGGTTCGTTACAGAGCCGGTGGTAAAACCACCGGCTAAAGAAAATTACTCAAACTTGCTGATTGAAAGGCAAAAGGAATCAAGCCCAAAAAGGCAACAAGGCGAACAGGTCCTGAGTCTGTGTTTGTGGGCCCGCTCCAGGGAACAGTCAACATTGTGAGCTATTGATCGCACTTGGCAAATAGGATTCAAACGAATTGGCTACCGTTTTCAAAGGATCTCTTGACGGAAAACCTGGGTGTGTGAATGCGGGTTTCCCAACTGCCAATTTTGGCTCAAGGAGGGGCTCATCCACCATGTGGACACCCATGCAGATCGGCGGTGTATCAAGAAATGGATTGAGCTTCTGAGGGCTACCTGTCAGAATCAAGCCTGATAGTAATGCTGCCACTAGAATGGACAGTCTGGGAACTCGGGGGAGATCATTTAGGGTGGAGATTCATGTCAACCACTAGTGCGGTGGCGCTCTATTGAACAATCATAGCCATAATTGCATCAAAGGGTTTGGTTGCAGGAAAATCTTCAGGAAATTACCCCAAAACAACCGAAATAAGCTGTTTTCCTGTTGAATTTCCTGTAACCCAACCCTTTGATTGTAGTGAGCTAGCTTTCCCATATCGATTGCGGGGATTCGTCGCCAACTGGACCCCTGCCTTGCTGCTGCCAGCGCCGGCGCCGGCGGCGGCGGCGCCCGCCAAGCCTGCTGCGCCAAGCGCGCCTCGCAGGGCTCTTTGTCCGGTTGTGGACCACTGGCTACCCCTCACCAAGGGTCTGAGACACACATCACCTCCCCCCCGAATTGGGGGTTGGATTGGTTTGGAGGTTGAGATCTTGGACGAATTTGCTGGTTCCTGCAGAATTGCTGGTCAACAAGTTGCCCTGTCCGTCTTCCCCCCAGCCTGTAAGGTTTGGTTGAAAACAAACTAAACCAGGTTTGGCACCCACCAACGCCCCTATATTAGACTGTCCGTCTGCCTCCCTGTCATCCACAAACAAAAACAAACTTAAACGCACAAAAAATAATAATCACTAATATGTCGGCCAATGGTACTTCCCATCACAGTCTTAAGGGTTGATTCTCCCAAAACGACAAACAACAGCTAGCCCAAAGCTGCAAATTCGTCACTACCCTTTGCTTACAAGATCGAGGTTTTGACAAGCTCACCTACCCCTTCAAGGCCAGTCCCCTCCAATACAACCTGACACTCTCCAGCCCACTTTCCCCTGGGGATCAAGCAGGTTCCTTTTACTTTCCTATTGCCGTCCTGTGGGCAAGGAAAGGAACGAGATGATGGGACTGCAGGGACCTTCCAAAATCCATCTTGGTCTGGACCTTGTCGACCTGGACAGAGATTAATCTAGGTAATTAATCGTTTTCATGGAAGAGGAAGTAAAAGACTATATGGTCCTCTTGAAAAGGCCTCCACTTTGATGAGTGCTGGAACAAGAAGTGTTTTGCCCTTTTCCAATCCTGAGGAAGTTCGTAACAGCAAACCTTCTACCCTTTGAGGCGCTGAGAAGGTACTTGCACCCTTGGAAAGACAGAAACTCCTGGTTTTGGTGGCGGGGGGAAACATCTGATGTGACCTTAAGGCCCCTCACCTAGTGCCTCAAATCCGAGGTCCCCATCGTGGGAAAAAATGAGGTGCACTGTACCTGTTTCCCGGTGCGAAAAGAAGTGGAACCCTTTTTGGTTGGTTGAGCCCATGTTTAGTGGTCTCAGAACTCAACGAAACCGATTTAAAGAATGGAATCTACAGAACTGCTTAGTTGCGTCTCTTGAAGACACTCCACCCCCAAAAAGGACTAAAAACGGATCTCCCAGCCCGCAAGAAGCTCACGTGCTTCCAGTTCCCAAGATATTTCCGCGTGGTTCTACATGGTTTGCGCCAAACACAAGGCTCCGTTGCGCTAGTTTCCCCCACCAAGAAAAAGGAAACAATGGAAATGCCCCTTGGTGTGGCCCGAACGCGATCTTTTACCCTCCCAACAAGGAACCCTGGCCCCTCGAGAAAAACGACGGAACATGAGTGGACCCAAAAAAACCCAACAAATGGCTGGTGTCTGTTCAGTGTCCCTTTAAATTCAATGAATTTCAAAAAACATGCCCTGAAAAATAAACACCCGCAAGGCAACTGACAGCTGACAGGCGCCACGGTTTGCCATTTAAACGCCCAGGTCGACACTTCAACCCAGGAGTTCTCTTGGGAAACAACACCGCCACTGGGTATCCGACGGCTACCTTGGAGGTGGGCAACAAACTCACTTGCCAAGAGGATATGAACATACAAGGCTGACAATGTTGAAACAACTGGACTAAACGTGCACCAACTCAGGAAATTAAAACGTTGAACTCACTTCCTGAGTGAAGCCAAACAAACTTACCACTGTTGTTGTGTACCACTTTTAACTGTCCAGAAAGTTTAAAGTCCGAACCATCACTCAGAAAGCGAGCAATACTCGGTTGCTGGTGCCCCCTCCGCACAAAGTTGATCATTTTTGTGGGTCCAATGGAAAACACATGGAGAAAACACACTGTTTCTCATAAAAGTTAACGTCCAAAGGTCCAGCCAAATAGCCACAAAGAACCTATGGATCAGTCGCCTGCCCCCGCGCCAGCGCCGGCACCCAAGGCGCCGAATCCGGGACCTGTCGAGGCTCAGGGAAGCGACCGGAAAATCGCCACATTCTTGGGGCCCCAAATGTTTGCTTTCTTTCGCAGGGAGCAACGTGGAACACTCACGATCATCTTGTGCTCTTATATGTTTACCATATACAGTAGCTGTTCGTCTCGGACTCTAAATGCCTGAACATGCTCGTTGCTTCCCCTAACAGCTGAAAGTTATGGGGCCACCAAATAAGCTCCGGAGTGGTCAACTTGAGCCTCTCCAGGGTGAGCACGTTCCGGAGCTTGCTGAGCGTGGGCTTGTTGAATTGGTACCCTTTGGGGGGTTTCAAAGGCGGAACGAGATTTAGGGGTTCCCTATTGAGGGTGTTGTCCAAAGGGGACCCCTTGGAATCCCATTTTCTCAGCTGCCGGAACCCATGGTTCATCTGGGACTTTCGAAAACCCACCGTGTTGAGGGGTCCCCGACTTTTGGAAAGACCAAGATTGTGTTCAGTGTCAGTGACAACCCGATGGCATGCTGAAATAGCGCCGCAGCATTTCTAAGCAGGGATTGGGAAACTGGTGGAATGGAGACGGGTTCCATAGCTGTTTTCGTTTTAAGAAATAATGGCTCCTGAACCTCCCTGCTTCTTGGCTGCTAGATGTCCAAAGCCACTGTCCAAGTCACGTGCTTCCCCAAGAGGACATCGGAGAGTTAGTGAGTCTCCTGGTTTCGCTGGAATTTAGTGAGTTCCTCCACGCCCCCTCCCAAATGCCACATTGACTACAGTACTTTTGACCGAACCTCATCATCATTTTTTGTCGGGTATGCGTCGCAATAAAGGGCACCACGAAAATGTATGTGTTGTCCGTTTGGTGTCGCTTTCAACAACTCAAAAACAGATGGCGGGCCTCTGAAAAAACCCGATCCCGCTTCCAATAGACAAATCAATCACGCGCGCGCGCGCCTGCCCCAAACCCAGCGCCGCCGTAGCCAGGGCCGTAGCCTTTTCCGCCGAAGCCTTTGCTGCCGAAGCCCTTGCCGCCGAAGCCTTTGCCGCCAGAGCCTCCGCCTGAAAGTCAGGTTTGGAAACCGAAAACATGGTGGGCTTCCTTGTGGCTTCCCTTGAAACCAACCTAAACAAGGATTCCCTCAAAGGACTTCACCCTGTAACCTCCCAAAAACCAAGGCACGGGACCCTCTGAAACTGCAGATTCCCCATTTGCAACCATTCTTCGTTTCAAAAAACCGATCGCTCTCGCCTCTCCCAGTGATTCCATTTCCCCTTTTTTGCAGGTAACCAAGGGAACCACCCTTAAAAGACCAAGAGAAAACTGGCTCGCTACCTACTACGTATAGTTGCAGCTGGGATCCACTGGGTCTGCTTTGTTTTCAGGAAAGAAGGATCCCTGGAAAGGATGGCTGGAAGTTGCGCTTCATGGCAGGCTGCAGGAACGACTTTGGAAGCAACCATTTTGGCCAAGATGGACATCTGATTCTGCAGAAGGAAGATTATCGCGCTTTAAAAGTGCTTGATGCATGGACAGTGAGGAATATGAAGCGACGAGCGCTAAATGTGAACCACACCAGCCACTGGACTCTTTACTCAAAGGACCCAGAAAAAAGGCTAGCCTTGTGGGGCCAGAACTAAATATGGACCACGTAAGGTCGGATTTGGCATTCAGCCAGGGTATAGCAAATGTTGCCCGTGAACGTGGCCGGTCCCCTCCAAGTGCTTTTGAACCAGCACGGGGTGGATGCAAAGGATCGCTGCGAATATACCCCAAACTCGTGCCCTAGCATAGCGCCTGAGGGAGGGTACCTAGAAGATAAATGTCCTTTTCAAGCGGGAGAAAGACGATGTTATCCACCTGTGAATGTTGAGATCCCAAACTCCCAACATGAAATCCCTGTAGGGAATTTAGTCAACCCCTACCTCAATTATATTCTCAACACAACCTCGCAGCAAAACAAACCTGAGCTGGCCAGCTGAACATTTGGCATGTCTGCCATTGCTCTGGACAGGCTATTTAGCACCCAGTGAAGTCTTCCACAAGATTGACAACAAGTTAAGGTGGAGTGGATGGCAAAACTCACGTTGTGCCTATAGTAAGAGAATGATCGGACCTACATGGGAAACGTGTGCTATCTACCTGCACCCGGGAATCGAAAAACCAAAGACAACTTGCCATTAGCTGCGGGCTTTGACTCAATAGGCAGTGCAGTTGAAGGTCCGACTATCCACTTCTGTACGATGAACATTCTCTTTAGCTTGCTAAGAAGGGAACGCACCTTCCTGAGTGGATTGGCCAGTTCTGGCGTGTGTCCGCACATGATCCGCTGACTTTCCCCGGATATTCGCTCGCTTCCCGCCGGTTTATCCGCCAATTAGCTTGTCCGCTCAATTCCAAATTTTCCGCTCAACATTCGGAACTAGTAAAACAACTGCTTGGACCCCAACAAAGTGGCCAAATGAAAGGTCCAGGAATGGTCTTCCAAAATCCAATGCAAAGTTCTGGAACTCAGGGTGTTAGGAAAAGCACGGCGTCAGCAGTTGAGCACCAGAAAACGCCTGAGACACGTGCAAGTCATCGGCATCGATGTCCGGAAACAACAGGTTAAACTCGTGGGCCAATGCCATGACCAAATGTGGACCAACATAGGAAAACAAAAAGCAACTGAGCAGTTGTCCCCTCCGAACAAATGCAGCTAGCAAGCACCCGATCTGGTTTAGACACAAACCCACTTCCGGGTCGAATTTTGTAAGTTGGTCGCCAACCAGCGCAAAAACAAAGAAATGCCCATTTTTGCATATCCTTAAGCACGCGCCTTGCCAGCTTCCCTGGCCACCGTTCCAGCCGGTCCCATTCCGGTAGCTCTGCTGTTGGTAGACGTCCCCCGGGGGGCCGCCGAAGCCATACGCGCCGCTGCCCACGTGGCCGCTCGTGTTGCTGTCGCCTAGAGGTAACTCATGCGCGGGCAGGAAGCGTCCACAGGTATCTTACTTGCCCAAAGGACCTGGAAATACAAGGTTCAGCTCTGGGGGCCTTGACTACAAGGAGATCAACATAGGAAAGCAAGAAGGTCGAAAGGTCGGTTTTGGACAACTGAGTTGTCCTGCAAGCCTTTTCCAGGCTCATGAGGGGAACCCTGACATGCCGCCTGCGGTCAAACGGGGTTGTGTGCAGTGAACTCATGCAACAGTCGATGATCAGTCCCCGAACTGGCCCTAAACTGGCATGGGTGGGTCATGTTTGAGGGGAATCACTTGTTAGTGGCTTAAAAGGACACCAAAAGGAAAGCCGTAATTTTGGTAGAGTCCACTAAAAAGACAAGACAGGATGGACATTTTGCGATTCGCTTGCATGGTTTAGTAGTTTGGTGAGTGTACGGGTCCCATGTCATCCGTTCTTGTTTTACTGTCGCGACCTTCAGAAATAAGAAGCTCGGTGAGGGGTTCGGTGAAAAAAGAAGAGTGGACAATATTGCAAGGTTGAGTCACCAGTTTAACACTGAAACAGCTTAACACAATTTCATGCTTACAAAAGAAAGATGATACTAGCATTGTAACTGTAAAGGCTACTCAGCCCATCAACTAAGAACCCCTTAGCCTGCCAAAACCCAGCCATCTGTCACCCTCTTATTCAAAGCAGCGGGCACACAGCTGGCCTTGATTTCTAGGTTGTTCCTTCTATGTCGCTTTGAACAACACAGCAAAAGTAACCCTTCTCTCAAATCGGCTCGAAGGTGATACCACAAGGGGACAAACGGGATATACAAGGATCCCTGCAAATGAGGTGAACAGAACCTGCACCAGTTGGTATCTGGTTTCTCCCAGTATTTATAGGGTTTTAACCATCCCAGTGGGTGCGAAGTGGATTTGGCCAATATGTCATATTTCCTGGCATGAACTCTTGCCTTTGAACATCCTACCCTCTAGCTCCAGGTAATTGCATGGCACTCCATGGCAATGGGCCACAAGATTCTTGGGGATTTGACATCGGGGAGCCTTTCGTGATTGGTTTGGGTGTTCCAAGGAAAGAACGCTGATCAAAATAAACGACACATCCCTGGAAACAAAGGCTATGCTTCCCGATGTCTTCGGGTGCCCTTTCAAACAAATCCCCGAAACAATGCCCTGCCCATCTTATCCCATCGTGAAACTGGATGATGATTCTCTTGCACAATGAGGGCTCACACGTGACCATCTTGTCAAGAGGTTACTGCATGAGATTGATATTACAACATATCTGAAATTTGTACAATGGTCGACCAAACTTGCTAGCTGCAATGTTTGTTTGGCGTGGTCGTTCAGGAACATCACGTTGCTATCAGGATGGACACACGACCTTTGCACAGGACATAAACTGCCCGAGCAGGAGCCAGGCAATGCACAATTTGGCAAGTGTACATTGCAAAGGCCGGCCTTCAAGCAACACCATTGCGACACGAATTAACATGTCCATACACCTGAAATTGGGAATGCGCCCCGCTGCCAAACAAATTGCTGCACTTTCCGAAACGACTTCAAAGGGCTTACAGAACGACAGGTTTGGTAGTTTGACAAGACGACTTCAAATCCAACATCCCGGACATCTCAAATATTATGTTTGATGCAGAAATTTGTTTTGGTTGTTTTTCCCCTTTTTTCTGGTCTTTATTTTTCTGTTTATTCTTTGCAGGGGCATATTACAAGTATCTTACTTACGTATCTTGATGATGTTTAGACGACACAAGTTAACCCGACCAACACGCAAGAAGCGGGCGATCAATTGGGCCCCAAGCCCAGGCTCGGCTCTTCCTGCTTTTCGTGGGGGTTAGCTGCCAGAAAGGACGCCGCCTCGGCACACGGAAAGCTCCCTTCCGATACCTACAGTGCCCCACTCTTCTCACTTGAGCTGATCTCAAAACTAAACACTCCCAGTTTGCCACTAGAATGGTTCCCAGAAAGTTGACTTTCCAGTAACTGCAGTGAATGAGTCCATCCTTATCCACTCCATGGCTTCGTCTTGCCTAATGAGTGCGAGACTCTTTGTGTGGTGCCCTCCGAAAATTGGGGAAAACAAAGGCACCACTGAAGGACTATACATAGGGCAAATGAACAATCGGGTGAAAGTAGAGTGCACCATTTTACTTCGTCATTCCCTCTACTTGCCTACGAGTGTGTTTGTTCAAAGCCACCCCCCTCCTGCCATTTTTGGATTGGTTCAATGGGAAATCAAAAGGAGCGGTCCAAATCCCTATTTGACACATACCCATCCCAAACTGCACTGTTATTGTGTAAGGCTGGCTGTTGTATTCCGGCCTTTGGCCTCGAGTGGGCTGGCCAAACAAAGTTAAAGTGTCTGTTCACCACTAAAATGGTCATCCACCAAACACAGAAAAAATGACGTAGGGTCAGGGAACCTTGGCCGAGAGCAAAGGGGCATTGCGCTATCCGAATCACTCCGGTTCCCCCACGGCAAGCGCCTGGGACCTCCTTCTGGCAAAGCGACTCAGATCACCTGGAGAACCAGTCGCTCGCTCAAAGACACTGTTTTTCCCCAACAGCTGGAAGCTTTGGGGTCTCAGCCCAGATAGGCTCTGGGGTGGTCCGGGGCGGCCCTGAGGTAAGGTTCCACGAGGGTTTCACGAGGTTCTGCGAGGGCTGCGGGGTGGTGCGAGCACTAAAAAGAGCACCGCATGCTGAGGGGGATATCACCTGAGCTTATTGGTTTTTTACCCTGGAGTTTGGTCGCTCAAAGAAGCAGTTTTTAAACCTGGGGGTAGTTTGGGGGGTAAGTTTGTTTGGCAGAGGCAAGGTCAGCCAGAAATTGGCAAGGCCATGTGAGCCAAAGAGGGTACAGGAAACGATGCCATGCCTTGTGTGTCAAAAAACCCTGGAGTTTGGGGGCGCAGATGTCATCGAGTTCCTGCCCGAAACTTCATCTCGAGCTCCGAACACCCGGCGTGTTTTAACCCTGGAGTTTGTTTGGAGGCAAGGTCAGCCAGAAATTGGCAAGGCCATGCATGCCAAAGAGGATATAGGAAACTATGCCATGCCCTGGAGTTTGGGGGGGTAGATGTCATGACTGTCCGGCCCGAAACTTCCTCCCGAGCTCCCACAAACCCCGCGTCGCCTTCAAAGGCGCTGTCCTGCAAGTCCTGCGCCAAAACGGGGAGGGAGGCAACGGGGACCCCAAAGGTGGTGTTCTTTGTGGCGTCCCAAACCAAGGTGCGAGCCTCAAAACCGCACATTGCCCATTTATGGACATGCCAAAGCGAGAGCCAAAAGGAAAGAACCCATCTTGGCCCGCTTGGAAATGATGTGATTCATTTCTGTTTGTCTAACCTGGCGTGTCACCTGTGTTTTGATGCGGATGCCCTCTACAATGGAATATCGTGTATTCATCAACCAGGGGTTCATGAATCTTCGAGTTGCCCTCATTGCCCTCCACTGACGACTTACTTTGCTCCATCGCCCTCTTCGCAGTCCTGGGAGCAAATGCCCTTGCCTCGCTTCACAGCCTGACAACGAGAATATCTCGCTGGTTCTATTGTGGAAACTACCTTTGGGAATGAACCCAGCTGTTACAGGAAACCACACGGAATGTTTCATAGGAGGGTCTCTCCCTTACGAATCGACTGAGCACCAGCAAGCTATGCGAAAAGCTGAGCCTGTTTATCGACCACCGATTGCACAACCAAGCGCAAAGCAAACACACCCAGTGCTCCCAGCCACCATACATTGACTCAGCCCACCTTTCAAACTTGTTGCTTTTGTTTTTTCGTTTTCCCTTTGTAACCAGCAAACAGTTCACAGTTTGCGGGGTCTGAGTCTGGCCAAGTAGCCCTTCGGGGTTGGATGGCTTGGTACTCTCACGGCTCTTCCAGCGCTGAAGCTTTGATTGATCTGCCAATGGGCAGTAGGCTCAGTCGAGTCACAATCAAAACCTGGTACTCAAATTGGGCACCCAGGCCCATGTAAAGAATTAGCAAGGCGGCTGCACCCGCTTCTGGTTGGGATTATCCCTTACTACCCTCCAATTACCCGGGTGTTGGTTGTGGCGGTGTTGGTTGTGCTTAGTTGGCCAAGCTTGTTACCATTTTGGGGTGCTCCCATTTTGGTCCACTCGTAAGTCAAGGTCCCAGCTGGTTGATCCCCTGAACATACAACCTCATCAGAGGAAGCTCCTTTTGGACCCCCGTTCTGGGCAAGACATGTGAATTTGCAGGAGATGGCCTTTCGGGTAGCCTTTGTCGAGTTCCTTTGGGCGAAGTGGGTAAAGCAAATCGCCCTTTCACAACCGCGAGGCAAATGTTGGCTACCTACTATAGTGGCTTGCCTGGGATGTGGGTGAGGTTTGGATTGAACTTCTGGATATTGACATATGGACGGGCATGACGACGAGCTCTAATTTCCAGACAAACCCAAGGGTCTCGCTCAAATGCCCAATTCAAACTGGGATGTATCGGATGTACAACCACTAATTAGACACTGTGGAAATGGTATGTGCTTGTTAATCTCTTGGAGGTCGTGGTTTGGGGCAGTGAACAGCTTCTTGGAGCAAGGCTTCAGTGACGAACAGCAGCTTTCAAGGGCTTCAAGGTGGTTGCACCACATACCAACAAGGAATGAAAGGCGCATGCATGGGGCAATCCCAAAGGAGTGCCCCCCTTGGGTTGCATTTTTGTCCACCCTTTTGGCTGAACCAGGACAAGTAGACCAAAAAGGCAAAGAGGTCCACGCTCTGAGGTACATCTGCTCGTGGAGTCAAGATGTATGCCCCCTCATCCAAGTGTTCGGGCCATTGTAAATGGAACTAAGTCACACACAAGAAGAGGGCTCCTGGGAGCCGGTATACATCTTTTCTGGGGACTGTGACATGAAACCAACAAAAGAACAAATCATTGAGACGATTCTGGGTGCCACTCTATCGTATTCTTTGTGCCTCTCAAGAGAGTGACCGAAGAAAAGGTTGGCTAGCGCAGCACAACGGTCTCGGTATAGCCACAAAATGTATACCTTGCGGCCCCTACTGAAAGTAAATCAGAACCGAAACAAAGACTCAATTGCTCGAAGGACTTGCAAACAAAAGGCTATCCCCTTTTGGGACCATGACTAAAAATGGACCAAAAAGGGGAAACCAAAGGTAAAAAGTGCGGTTTTGGGTAACTGAGCAGAAAGAATACACCGCCCGTTCCCGGCCAAATGTTGAAAGCCATGGCACATCCAGAAAGCTCAGCCACTCATCCAAATGCCGGGAGAGCACGCCCATGGCGAATGTTCATTCCATAATCCGCCACAACCCGGTACACCGAACAGGTAGTCGGCCAAGTTTGTAACCTGTTGGTAACCGAAGTGACAACCCACTTGTAAGTGCCCCTTAGTGGGGTTGACCCGGGTTCTAACCCAAGTGGCTAACCACTTACTAACTTGGCCGAACATCTCCAAGTATTGAGTCAATCTCAGACTGAACATACTTTCTGAGACTCCAGTTTGGACCCCACACATGGGGGGCAGAACTAGATCTGTTTAACCATGCTTGAAGCGCGGTTGGTTGAACCACCTCCTTTCGGTTTCTCTTGAAAAGGCTTGTCAATTGGATTCCTCAGCTCAGCATGTCCACTGTGCATCACATGCCTGAGATCTCACAAAGGGCTTGCCCATTGAGCCAGGCAGAAGTTGCTTGCTGAGCACTTCTCATTATCTGCTCGTACCACGCAAATATTCGGGTCTGAGTGAGCTTTGTCTTATTTGGGGGGTACCTTCTTTCTTTTGTTTGAAAGGGAAGCCAAAAGGAAAATCGACGCCATGTTGGGGAAACCAAAATCCTAAACAACACACCGATTCTTGTGCGATGGTCAGTGTGTTGACACGTGCGAGCCTTCCAATGCTGAGGTACGCATAAAACTGTTGCTAGCCTCAAATGCACAGACCCCCGCCAGGACACACATGTTCTAGCCACCCTGAGCCAAACTTTTTGTTCATGGCACGTCTTGCGCTTCGAAAGGGCCTTTTTGGCTCTCGTCCGACACAAGGCAATCCTCCGATTCAGCGTTGGGCAGCGACTTCGCTGCCGAGCAGATGGAATTCAAGCTATTACAAAGTTAACCTCTTGACGCTCTCTGTCAACAAACAGCATACCGTTTACCGTTTGGTCTAAAAACAGTTGGACCCATAGGCGCAGAATCCTGTGGGTCCCCTTTTTGCGCGGTCAACAGGGTCGAAAGATGTCAGAAGGGGCCGCAGGCGATTCGAGGGCTCGGAGCTTGGATCTCGCGTGCGCCGCGTGGGCTGTCTCGACCGTGGGGCTGGTCCTCCAAAGATCTGTCCAAGGCCAAGAAAAAGAATGTCCTCCAAAGATCTGTCCAAGGCCAAGAAAAAGAATCGATTTGGGGGGCTCAGGCGGAGGAGCGCTTGCAATCATGGCTCTGGAAAATCGCCCGAAATCTGTGTTGCCGGCGCTCATGACTGATGTGTTGACCTTGGAGAGGTTGCAGCCATAATTATTCTTGTAACCACAAAAACGGAACCTATATAGAGATATCCTTCTGGGTAAAGGGCTCATGTTGCTTAGCCGAAAGAAGCCCAAGTACGAAATCACAAAGCACATCTACATCATTGTGCCACTACAAGTTGCCATTCGCCTGACGCAAACACTGAAACAACTGCGAAGGGAAAGGACCCAAAGGGTGCCCTTAGGGACGTTTTAGGCAGGCACAATGAGCCCAAACCGCCTGTTTTGTCCTGCCAAGTTCGAGGCTCAAGCAACTCCAAACTTGGCGAATGAAGGGGACAACTGATGTCAGATGGTGGAGACCCACGGCAAAAAAACAAAAGGGTAAGCGAAGTCTAATGCAAACACCCGAGGAGCAACAGAAGTTGTGTGAAGCTGTGTTTTAGTGGCTGCCTTGGATTTCCGCTCCCAAACACTCCACTTACATCTGCCCCACACATTCTCCAACACTTGTGGAATCCTTAAAGTTTGCTACATTTCGGGATCCGGATCACTTGGGAAAAAACTCTTTATTCACACAGTGCGTCTTTTTCTCAGGCTACCCTTCTTTGGGGTTGCTTTGAAGGAAAGGCAAGGGACGCCACCCATTTTGCAGGTTCCCTCACCTTGCAGACAAACCCATGTTTTTGTAAGCCAGCTCTAGCTGAGAGAAGCCCAAACTGAAAACAAGGGTCACTCCAATAATTCAAAATCTCACCACCCATCCTTCTCTTCAGATACCACCCATGTTCTTCCGGAAGTGTGTTCCCCTTTTCACAGAGAAGGATCCCTGATGTGTTGATCCAAGAGCATGGCTGGGCACCGATTGCTTCAAATGACTTACTTTCCTATGGCCGCTGGAGCCCTGTCCATCCGTTTCTGTCACGGTGCAGGTCATCCAACATCAACTCCTTGGCTCAGATAACAGGGATAGAAACCCTTGTGCTTAAGTTGATTCTCGAAAGCAAAAAAACAGCTAGATGTTTGGGAAGGGCTTCACTCCCACTTTACAACTTCGAAAGGGGATTCCTGACAACTTCCAGTTGGGTCGGTCTTGGGATACCTTGTTGGGGTTGCTTCAATGTTTAAACCAAAGAGAATTCCAGTAGAACTTGGGGTCCAACTTCTGGTTTAAGACGCACTACAGCTGTAGAACCAGCATGGTCGCATGCCAGTGGTTCACCAGTTGCGCCTCCTTCTAGGCTGCTTCGGCATATGGGAAGGCTGCTGCTTCGGTCGACCGCACCTTGGGTGCGCGCCGCATTTGTCACAGGGCAAAAACAGCCGCTTTCGGTTGGGGTTGGATGATCTTGCAGGAAAACACACACACACACACTTGAACTCCAGATGGAGAATGCTAATCATTCGAGTACAACTGATGAGTCTCGAGTACAACCGACAAGTCTCGAGTAGGATGAGTTTCGGCTCGCAAGGCACTCGGTTTCCCTCTAGAGGCGAAAACGTTACCAGTTCCAACATGAAGCACACACAGCGCCGCAACCAAGGGGCCAAATAGACTTTCAGAATCACGCTAATGTTGCAGGTACACACGGGTGATCAATCCGTGCATCCACCATCAAGCATAGCTTCGTTGGCCAGCGTTTGCTTGATGGCCGCTGGCCCCCTGCTGCAACAGAAAACGGTTTTGGTGGCAGGGTTTTCTGCCACTCCGCACACACACGCCCCTCTACGAGGGGCGAGGTTTCTCTTTTCTCCTGCGGGAAGATCACATGCTCAAACTCAAATCTCTATCGTTGACCAAAATATCCTCCACGGCGAGGGGAGCGAGACACCGCCCTAAACCGCTCAGAAGACGGGAACGAAAGATCACCACGTTGAGCATTGCGAGTGTCGCCATAGAGGACTGAAGCGATTTGCGAAGCAGCCGGGCGATCACCATGAGAAAACGGAGTGGCATAGGTGAAGGTCTCCTCAACTGGAACGGCATCGGAGTTTCGAACTTGACCAAGAGTTTGATCATGTGGATAGTGAGTTGCGAAGGACTCAATCCGAGACAAAATGCGCTGGTACCCTTGGTGTTGCCAGTCACGGATGTCCCATGCCTGGACTGGCGCATCGGGATCAGTCACCCGCTGCCATTCACGAAAAGAATTTTCAGGTACGGCGTCACCGCGGTGCCATCGTTGAGGCTGTCCTGGAGTGTATATCCGCACCCACTCCTGATCATGCCAGACCGAATATTCGAGCCATGGGTGCTGCTTCGAATCATCGATGTCCATGTCGAGGCAAGAGGCAAGGATTGTCGCGGGCTCCGATCCAGCTAGTAGATGAACAAGCACCATGCACAACCATGTTCAAACAACAGCCAAGCAAGATCATGCAAGTGTAGAGGCCACCCTTATTTTGTACGCTGCGCTGCTCATGCAAGTCTAGTCTTCAGTCAGCTCGAAGACGGGACTCATCTTGTCTTGGCCGCTGTCGGAAGGATTCACGGGCCTGTAGGGGTCGGAGACCCCAATCGTCTCCGATGGTGTGTTTCCACGCGACGCACGTACTGGTTGATGAGGATGGGAGGCCAGACGTGCGCGGGCCGTCAGTTGTTGAGAAATCCCCTCCTGGAGACGAGTCAGTTCTTCAGTGGAGAAATCAGCCGCATCCGAGGACCTGAGAATCGCGTCTAACAGCTCCGGCGACATACTCAATGCCGTAGACTGCGTGGCCACGCTGTGATGATCGGAGGGATAAATGGAATCAAATTCATGACCAGCGTGAGGGGCAGCGATTCTCCGATAGCCCTCTGTGGCCCAGTCTCGTTTGTACCACGTAGTGACTTGGACTTGCCCTTTGACTGAGTCCTGGTTGGGAGCATAGAACTCCCTCCATTCTCTAAAAGTATGCGGAGGAGGTGGAGCATCATGTTCTTCTTGTGGCGTCCGTGGTCCTGGATGAAAGATCTTGACCCACTGGGCATCTGGTTGTTGAGGGTCCGGGCACCATTCCAGCCACGCCATGACAACGCAACCACGGAAAGACAAGTTGATAGGTGTACGGCTGCAGACAACAACGAGTGAAAGCAAATCAACTATCATAATGCAAAAGACCACTTTTGTAGCACTGTGCGGCGCCAACATCAAAGTCAGACTCTCCAGGAAGGCGAGGACGGGCATCAGCTATCATGTGAATTAGATGATGCCGAGGAGGAGGTCAATCCAGCATACATGAGGTCCGGTGCACCCGAAGCGAAAACTGGCCTCGCTATGCTGGGATGTGGACGACCCAGGCGTTGGTACCCCTTGGTGACCCAGTCCCTGTAATACCAAGTGTAGAAGGTGGCGTAGGATACCGGTTGCAGAACCGTGCCTATAGTTGTGCCGCCCGTGCTTTCCCTGGGCCAGTACACTTCGAAGTGGTGGACCTTGCGCCATTCCCGATAGGTGGACGGGTCATCCGGGGGCGGTCCCAGGGTGTCAGGGGCTACTGGATGCCACTGACCCGGTACATAGATTCGAATCCATTCCACACTCGTTCCTGCTGGCCCATTGACGATGTCATAGTCAAAATAGCGAGGTAGGACCCATCGTGCTGCACCCTGCACCGTACTATTGAACATTTCAACCCGACAAGCTGCTCAAAGTTTTCACGGAAAGTAGCGGACATATAGAGACGACATGCACAGCACCAAGCAAGACAACCCAATGAGAACTCACATACAAAGCAAGCACAACCGCATCTTTATCCAACATGCTACTCAAGTGTCAATCCGAATCATTCCAAGGATCATGGAATGGCGGCGGTGACGGTTCCCGCCACGCCCCATCCGGTACCGACGAGCCCACCGAGGACTCGATGTCTGCATTGA